GGGGGGGGGGGAGTGGGTGGGAGGCAATGGGAAGTTAAGGACACATGTAATACCTCAATCAATAAAGAAAAATAAACAAACAAACAAAAAAACAAGACACAGAACCATACCGTAGTACACTCCTATTTCTGTGACAAGCAAAGCAACGAAAAGCTCATAAAACCATATAATAAGTATGTATTTGTACTGGATACCTTCTCTTTGCCCCTCCAACCCTCCCTGCTCTCTGGCCAAGGAGGCTAACCTGTAAGGATTGCATCAATAGGTTTTGCTGACCCTTGGCTTCCCGTGGGGTTCACTCACTGGGGAGCTTCTGCAGGGGAGCGGAGGGAGGGGAAAGAGGGAAGTCAATGTGCTCATTCCCAGCGACCTCCCTGTGGTCCCTGAAGACTGGCTGCATCCCTCCAGCAAGTCTCAGAGCCACGAGAGGGCCCTTCTGTCACCCCTTCTTGTGTCCAGGCTTCCATTACCACTCTCTTTATTAAACTCAACTTAAAGTATCCTAATTTAAATGCACCATCTCTTTCCTACTGCGACCCCAACTTATATAATCATAAATGGATATATAAGCACAGAAAAAAGGATAGAAAGATTATCAGTGGTTAACACTTAATGAAAGAAGCTAGAATTAGTGGGGGAAGGAAATATTTTGGCCTTTATATTTCTGTATGGCATAGCTTATTTCTAAGGGCAAGTATTTATATATTATTTGAGCAAAAGAAATTTCAAGAGTACAGGAAAAACTAATTTTTTAAAAATGCAAAGTTGGAGCACTTTAGTTAAAGGAACAAACCAGGTCCTTTTACTTCTCTATGCTCATGCCTCTCCCACTGCCAGCCACACAGTGGGTGCCAATAAGAAACGCTATACACTGTGACCCAGGGGGCCTGAGACTAAGAGGATTTGTCAGAAGCAAGGCCAGCTTCTAGAGTTAGTAATGAGAGGGAAGGAATAAATGCTGCCTACAGTAGCTTAATGGAAGCTTCCTGGAGGTGTGGGTAATAGTGGCCCCCTGACTACAGGAGCAGCAACACTGGGCTATGAGCCTCGATCCCAGCCTGTGTGCCTTGCCCACGGCAGAGGCCCCAGGCCCTCCACAGGCTAGCTGCATCATGGTCTCTAGGCATGAGATGTGCATCTGACCATGTTCAATCAGGTGTCTCTCCTTAGGTCGGACAGACTTCCAGTACTACTATCTCCCCTCATGGCACCCAGGTCTGGATGCTTCTCTGGACTATGAACTCACAGTCAAACCCTTTGATACCAGGCTGTGAGTGCTGGGACGGACTGTGTCTGGGCACCTAGTTGAGGCTAGTCTCTACTGTGAGGGACACTGACACAGGGTAGGGGTTCATTAAATACTGAACTATGCTGCTGGAGCCATAGACATGACAATACAAAATAGATTATCCTGTTTGCCAGCTCTAAAGGCCTTGAGAGCCATGGGTATTCAAGAACCCATGTAGAGGTGAAGTCATTGACCATAGTCCCTTCACCATCCCCATGCATATAGGGTAGGAATATTTAATTTTTCAAACCTCTGATGCTTCTAAATGTTTTGAAATACTTTCCCAAGTTCTCTCTGAGATCTTTGGAGCATTTAGCCATTTCTGTATATTTCTACTAATTGTTGTCAGGCAAGAGATTTTGTGAGTGAGTCAGTTAGCACTAGGTACAGCTATCAGAGACCTGCCCTGGTTCCTCTGTGACCAATTATCTCAGGAATTCTTGCCAAAGTAATGAAAATGAATGTTTAATGTTGGCCCCCCTCTGCCTCTCTGATGGCTTTACAGAATTCCGTGGTATTTGAAAAGCATCAGGGAAAGTAAATAATGAAGGTTTGGTGTTCCTTTTTTAAACACAACTGAAATCATTAAGCAAATGAGTCAGAAATCATATAAGAGAACATTAGGAATTAAAACAGACTTGAAAATTATTTCTAAAAGACCTTAGGCAAAAATCCATTCATTTCAGTCCAGAAACACTGCATTAGTCCCACCACAGTGAATAATGCTACCTCTAACAGCCCCTCAGCACCCTTCCCTCTATTTAATATGTACCCACTGTACCCCATTGCCACAGTGCATGTGGTGAGAGAATGTAAGCACTTCATTATTAACAAACGAGCCCAGAGCTTTCTCCAACCACATGAGAACTACACAAGGAGGCTATGAAAAGGAGAGGAAGAATACCACCAATACACAAAGTTATAATTTCCTATCTGATGTTCACTATTGACTCATTCTTATAATTATGCTCACGAGTGAGGTATCAACATGTGATAAAAAAGGGGGGGGGATGGAAAAGATTGGGATGCATAGTTGGGAGGACAGTTAATTAGCACCAACCTTCAATTATCCACATGTGGCTAACCAGTGGGGACCTTTTTATTTCAGGCTGGTTTCCTGGGCCACCATCAGGATAAGATTTATAAACGGACAGAGTAGACAATTACTTTGTGCTCTGGTTTGGGAAAGCCTGACAAATTCTAAAATCCAAAATCTCTACCTTCTCTAACCTCTTCACTGGCCTTACTATGGTACGCAAAATTCCCATGTTATGCACATCAAAACATTGACAATCCTTCACAAGAGGCAAATGCTATGAAAGATACAATTCCTTGAACTGTTACCAGCTTGTGATTGGTTGTGTGTGGGTGGTGCACATATAAGCTCAATATCCATTCCCCATTCTTTTGAAAACAGAAACCTGGTTTTCTCTTTGGAACCACTTCTTCCCCACTCTTGGTCCATGATTTGGGTGAGATTAACCATAACCCCTTATTCCAGTAATGAGCACCCTACCTAGTCCTGGACAATTACCTATCTACAAGCCTTCACCCCAATAAAAGTAGGCAAATGGCTCAAGACAAACTAATGAAGATCCTATCTAGGAGTTTTGCCAGGAAAATGTCTCCATTTCTCTTGGGATGCTAAGATAGTAAGATAGAAGCCTGGTGTGATCAAGGCCCTTTGGACACCATTTGTAGGCAGTTTGCCTGAGAATGAAGCCATACTGAGAAAAACAGGGCCTTGTGTAGGTGAGGCAACACCTGACATCTTCTAGAAACATGGATTCAGCCCCACCAAACTCTTCAGTTTGGGAGCCAAGACATTTCCCCCTTATTAAATCAGTTTACTGTTTCTGAAAATAAGAACCCCAAGAGTGCTGATTGACACATAGGTATTGATGCCCTATCAGAATGCATGGTGGAGAAAAAATGTAGGCTGCCTAGAAGGAAAAGAACATAACCAGAGATCACAAGGATCTGACTCTGTCCCTAAATGCTTAGCCTTGGGCATGCCCCTTCATAATAAAGTAAGGGGGAGTATAATAATGAACTCTAAGCTCCCACTAAGCTTTGACATACTGTGAATATAGATGCCACTTTGAGAGTGGGAGAAGAACCAGAAAAAAATGCTACAAAAGGCATAATTTATAGGCTTGCAGAGTGGGGTGGAAATGGGGGGCTTGTTTAGCTGGGCTGACAGAAATGCACAGGCAAAGGGAGGTGGGTTGGTGACAGGAAAATAATTTATCACACAGTTGAACATCAGTGACTTGACAATTTTGCCAGAACCTGTTCTGACTATCAAAGAAACACACTTCTGAGCCAAGTCCAGGCCTCTGTATTATCCCTTCTCTTCCAGGAACAAGGCTGCCCCAGAGGTGAGCAGACAAAGGAAACCGCTGACATCCTTGATGTGTGACTTCACCCTTTCTGATCCACTGTGCTCCTGCTTAGAGTTTCCTCTTCACTTAGCTCTTCCTGTCTACGGCCTACCTGACCTTCAGCACCCAGCCAATAGCCCTTCTCCTCCATGAAGCCTACCACACAGCGATCTCTCTGTTGTCCTTAACCCTAGGTTACTTGCTATTCCTCTCACTTAAAAATCACCTGATTCATGGATGGGTGTCTCTGCACTGATGAGTGACTCCAGAAGATACCAGAAAGGAATGCCCAAGCACTGACAGAGTTGGGTGAGAACTTGGGCCCCAGCCTTCACATCCAGGGCTCTCCCCTCCATCACCGCTAGTGACACCTACTACTACCTTCTCTTCATGCTCCTGTTGCCTTTTTACTTAATGTTCATTTAAATACCCCTACGGCCCTGGCTGATGTGGCTCAATTGGTTGGAGCATCATCCCATACAACAAAAGGCTGCAGATTTGATTCCCAGTCAGGGCATATACCCATGTTATGGGTTCAGTCCCTGGTTGGGGCTAAGATGTGTATGGAAGGCAATCTATCTATGTCTGTCTGTCTGTCTGTCTGTCTGTCTGTCTGTCTCTCTCTCTCTCCCCCTTCCTCTCACTAAAATCAATAGAAACATATCCTGAGTATTAAAAAAAAGTAAATACCCCTCCCAACATTTTTATTGAGTCTTCTATGTGCTAGGCACTGTGTTAGGATCCTGTGAACATTTTCTGTAATCATTACAATTATCCTGAAGGTACTCACACATCACCATTCCCAT